CCCTAATGTACTAGATGTTACATTTTGCCACCAGGTGTCAGTACGTTTTAAATTTTCGTCACGGCGACACTGTATCACTATACTCGTCATTGCATGTCATTACCGGTCATACTACGTAATTATTCTTAATTGAAAATTTGCATTACTAATCTGACTTCGAAATTTCGACGAGAATTTCATGAAAGCGATCGAATCTTTATTTTATTTCATTCTACTTTCATTTTCTTCATTATTTTGAAAATCATTTTTAAAAGTTGTCTTCAGTTGTCTTACCAAAACTAACCGTTCTAGATGATTGCGGAAGGGCGATTTCTCGGAAGGCACTGATTGTTAAATTTGAAGATGCCATCGACGATTGCTTCACCATGGAAGATTCTCCTGAGAATATTCGTGAGGATTGGACATTGTATTATTTCGCGATCAAATCGATGAAAGTCGAGACTGTGGAATGTTAGAGCAGTCGATAGCCGTTTGTCCCAATGCAGCGTTTAATTCGATCGGCATCTAGTAATACCGTCAATTTGGTTCCTTTGAGTTAGTCCGATGGTCGTGTAAATCCCCGGCGTGCAACCCCCGTCACTCGAGTCGGTCCCGTTAATTTGCGGAGAACACACGAAAATTACCAATACTGCTCTTGCAAACAGAAGACGAGAAGTCTTTAGTGCTGTAGATCAAGGCTCTTCGGTCTGAATGACAAATTAGGAATCGTCGAAATTATTCAAGCCCCGTCTGAATGAATTCAATTCTAGGATATTTATCCGGGACATCGGCAAATTTGAAAATGTTTGGTCTAATTAATCTGCAAAATGATGTAAGTATCTTGAAAAGTATTCTGTTACAAAAATAGTGTCATTTCAATTGATTATATATATTTTGTGGTTTTAAGTTTCGTGAATAGTATTATGATGATTATTATATGATATTATATAATCCTTGATTCTTTTTATAGTCCTTCATTTTTTATCACCGATCCAGACAATACACAATATTTATAAAATATTTACAAAATATTTATAAATATATATAAGACTCTTATTTTAAATATTTTGTAAATATTTTTGTAATCTTAGATTACATAGATCATAAACATCCATTATAAATACTATAAAATATTTATTGTATATCTTGTAGAGTAAATGCTATGTAAATACTTAATAAGACATTATAATTCAAATAAGAAATACTTAACAGAAACATTTATTTATATTTATCATAATATTACATTATAAATATTTAGTCTATCTTTTAATAATATTTCGAATAAAGCTTTATATAAAATATATATAAAATATACATTTCATAAAATGAATAATAATAAATATTTATCATAAATATGCTGTCGATGCCTGGCAACTTGATCCACTCAGAGGGATCAAGTAAGATCGATTCCAAATTAATCGAACGAGTCTTTGTTATAAAATCGTGATTTTTCAGAGGATATCCCACGTGCAACCGAGGCAGAATCGAGTCTTCACGCGTAATCACGCATTATCGCACGCATGTTTACATTTACGGACGCGTGCACGTTTGCGCTTTCGCGCGCGCACGTAAAGGACCACCAACGCACGCGGAAATCCGGATTTGCTTGCACATAGGCAGCTCACCAGCACACGCATGCGAGAGGTGCATCAGAGGGGATTTCATATAGCCGGTGCCAGATTGATTTGGTTTACCTAAACCGCTATCCCGTCCTCCTCCCGCTGGAAATCAGAGAGAGAAAGAGAGAGAGAGAGGGGGGAGGAGGGTGCCAGTGGATACCGCCCTGGATTTTCCACCGGCAAGTCGCGGCGAGGAAGGGTGTTTACTCAAGACACGACAATTCATTACGTAATTGAATTGAATGAGCCCTCTCCTTTGCTCCGCATCGCCCATCCCCTTCCGAAGCGTTTGGTTCAAACGTGTACGCGTGCGAATGCTCAGGCACGCGTGTGCGTGCATGGTCTATGCGAGTCGAGGGGTGGATCGAGATTCAGAGATGGATTAAAGACCGGAAGGAGCCCCGGAAGCCGACGTAAATCGACAAGTCTTTTGGGAAGGTGAGATTCTCAAAGTTGTCTCTGAAGATGTTCTTTCAATTTACGTCGAATAGCAAGATTATCGATACAATAGAAATTGTAGAAAAGTTCTTTGAAATCCATTAGGCGAATAAATAATTAATTTTTAAGTCATTGTTTAGCAACAAGCAATAAAACAGTCCCAAGAAATACATTAATTAGATTAAAAATATCAGTAATGTTCAAATTACAAATATATTTTCCAGTTTTTACTTATCCATGATAGAAGTTGATTATTCTCGTAGATAATACATTTAATTTAATCTTAATCGCGATCAAACATTGAGATGTAAATTAAAGAGATTACGATAACTTAATTTTTTTTTTTTAGAAATCCTGTTCATATATTTTGCTTCGAAATGCGATCGTCTCGGATGATGCCGCGCGAGATTTCGCTACGTCCCTGGTGAGACATTGTAACCCCCGTTCGTCGCCGGCGTCTACGCTCCTCTTCTCCGAGGCCGGGGAGATCCGAAGGCCTGGGACCGACCGGAGGGGCTGGTAGCGAGAGAGCGACCGAATTAAACGATTAGTTAAACTGATTTCGAGTTAGGCGAATGAATAAGTAATCGGATTTCTCGTTAAGGTAATCGCATTGCGCTCTGATTGGCTCCGTCTGCCTGCGTTATAGGCCGCACTCCCGGCATTTTGCCCCTCTTCTCGTCCCGTCCACCCTCGTCCACGTCGTACCGTTCACTCTCCCTCCCCTCTTTCTCTCTGCTGAAAGAGCGAAGAGAGGGTGTCCTCTCATCGTTTGCACGAGGGTGTCCTCGCGCGTTCCCATTGTCGCCGTCTCATCTCCCAGAAATTGAGAAGCGCGAATATTTCGAGTAATGTACACACTCGACTTTTACACCTATATTCCCGTTATCTCATTGTTTATCGCGCGCTACATATAATCGTTTAATTAGCATGACCGATATAACAAATGCTTTGAAATTTCGATAATTTAAAGAAGCATTCTTTGAGAAATTTGGTACTGTGTTTATTGAAGCATCTTCTCTAATATCCTATTAATTCTTTTGTTTTATTTCACTTGATCTTTTTCTTTGATTTCAAATATCAATCGAAGATTCATTCTCTTCTCTTTGATCATAGATTAAGATCGTGATATCTCTGTAAACAAGTTAAGGAAGTTCTCGCGTTTGATGAAATATAAGACAAGTCTATAATATACATGTAATACAAAAGCTAATAATATCTAGAAAAAATTTCATTGACGATTTATTTTGACGCACTATTTTGAAGATATTTAATTCTAAATTTATAAAATTTTACATTACAAGTTGAAGATATAACCTTATTTTGTAGTTATTCTTTTTTAAATTGAGACATTTGCGTATAAGACAATTTAAAAATCGTTATAAAGTAAACACTTAAGTTTGTTCTCGTAAAGTTTTATTTAAACTGACCGTACAGTTTACATCAAATGAGCATCTTACAATTTTTATTTTATCATTTCGAAAATTAGTAACATACAAAATTAATTATGTATAATGGCATAAATTATCGTTAATACCTTTTTATTCCATTATTTTAATTGTTTTACATGTTATTATGAGTAAATTATCTATTGGTTAGGAAGTAACGCGAGAACCTCCTTAAGAATAGAAAATTGACTATATGTTTTAAGTTCTAAATTTCCTTCTACTTGCACTCCCTTCATTCTCCCTTTCCGTCCGTCCATATCTCGTAAAACGGACTGACAAGGCGAAGTCTGCTAGTATAGCCCGAGCAATTACATTCCCTGAATGCAATCGCATTTAAATATTGCCGAGTTTGACGGCGACAAACACGGGGTACATGTCTCAGGGTCGCATTCATCTGGTGCGAGGAGAGATTTGCGGCGTACCGATGTTACGAGAGAGGATAACTTCTGTAGATTTAATATTGCCTTAAACGATGCAAATTTAGCATTATCCGGAAGGCAGCAAATATTGGATGTCTTCTTCGGTGAAAATCGCGCAACAAGCACGACGTACTTTATTGAGGACGATAAATCGTGTCTGAAAAATTGAGATTGGCAAGAACGAAATCGAGTTTACGTCCGACTGATGTACATCATCCTGACGGTCCTGAGAGTTCACTTACGCATCGTCGAAAAGGAAGACAAAGAGAGAACAAAGGGAAGAAGAAAACGAAGGTGTGTTATTAGTGAGAAGAGAAGTGGATATTGAAACGGAGAAATATACAGGAACTGAGAGAGTGAGGCAGCATGTGACAGAAGAAATGCACTTGTCACGAGTAACATGCAGGGCCGCTTTATCTGCATTGTGATTTCTTTTAGATTCATTTCTGCCTGAAGATTTCTACCTCAGATTCTCTTATATATATATATATATTATTTTTTTATGTTTACATACTTTATTAGTGAAAGCAATTATAAGTGTTTTTCATAAAATGAATTTTATTTTTAAAAATAAAATTTATTTTGAAAAATAAAAAATTGAATCCTGGAAAACATTCTATGAAAACATAATCAATTATTTTTAATGTTAAAGCAGTAGATTAATTTTAACTACGTCACACATGTGCGGTGTTCTTTACATATTCAATATAAATATCTAAAAAGAGAAAAAAATTACTTCGAAAGATATAAAGTATGAACAGGAAACGATTTATAAAACAGAATTTTATAATCGGATTACACACACAATTCGTGTCTACGTTATCCATGATTTATCACGAGAAGAAGATAACGTGTTCAAAATTCCCGAGTTCATTCGTAAAATAACTCTCTCTTTTCAGACCCGGAGCAGAAAGTCGACGATCCGACGACCGATAACGAGGCCAGACAAAAAGGAGGAGCTTCGACCGCGGAAAGCATGGGATTAATTACCGCGTGCCCGCGGCGGCGGCAGCGGCCTGTTTCTGCCTCCAGGTAAATACAGCGGCCCTGGCGGTCATACGGGGGGTGCGGAGAAGAACGCAGGGGATGATAGTAGGATGGTCGCCGAGCGGCGTCCTACACTCCTACCCCCGGCCGGCGACGAGGGTCGAGGGGTAGTTTCGCCGCGAGCGTTTCCGCGGCGGGCGGAAAAGCGGACACAAATGCTAATGAGCGTCGGTTTGGGGGGTAGATCGTGCCTGCCTCCTGGAAGGGGACGAGGGGCTGCGAGCCCCAGATCGTGTCTCGATTGAAACGAAAAGGAGGGAGAATCACCACGGGGCGGTTCCATCACGCCCATCCGCATGCGGATTGGCCGGCGGCCGAATGGCGTCCTGAAGGACGCGTGGCGTCGGGACGTCGACGTCGGGATGTGCCTCCCGTCGACGTATCTCCCCGGCGACGGCTCTCTCGCAACGGCGACGGCGACGGCGGCGGCGAGTGCCGTCGGTGCCGAGGCGCGACGTCGCGCGCGAGAGTTGCCCCGATAACCGTGAGGATGGAGCAGCTCGCCCAGTTCGTCTCCAAGAGCTTCGACAACGCGCCGGCGGCAGGATCACGCTCAGTGTCGCGCATCTCATCGGTGATCATGTCGCGGATGATGTTGACCGCCGTATGTGTTATCATCTTTTCCGATGCATCGTGATATTATACTAAGTCTTTAGGTGCTGAGTTGATCGAAAACTGATCAAAATCGCGCGATCAAAATCGCGTTGATCGATGCAGTGCACGCATTCTTTTCTATGGGATCTCAATGATAGATCTCAATATAAATCGTGATGCCGAGCATAAAAAAATGTGCTGAGTCGAATGAAATTTGCTACGCGAGTCAGGTCGATTCGTATGTGTTTGTGTTGCAGATTGTTAGTGATTAAGCAAGGTTTATATCGATTCGGAATTCATTAAGAAGAAATTTATAGTGAGAGTTATGTTAAATTGTATTCTGGTGTATTCCTTGAATTAACAACAGTCTGCATGATTATTTGGACTATTTTATATAATTTGTGTATTAATGTGGATTAGAAAAAATTAATTGTGGATGCTGGAAGTACCAAATCCTTTACATCCATTTTTTAATATAGAATTTATTTATTTTTTTTTTTATTAACTCATTGTGATGACAGAAATTATATTTTAGAAGTCTGTGAATGCTTGTTACTGCTAAATTCACTTACGAATCGACCTAATCGCTGACGTCTTTATCGCGTTCTTAATACTTCGCGATCAAGATGGTCCCGCGCGACAGATGAATACAAGAGAAATCTTGTTTAGATGAAGCGGCGCAAGAGACTACAAGTAGCGTCATCGAGACGAGCGGAAGCATCGAAGAACCGCCGTCGCCAGAAGGTCGATTGCAACCGGAGGATCTCTCCGTCACGGCCAAGATCAAGGACATTCGGGACACCGCGGAGAACTTGCCACCCCTAAAGACACCCGAGCTGAAGCTATCGGTTCGCAAACTGCTTGGATGCACCCCCTCGCCACCGCCTATATCGAGGGACCGATCACCCAGCCCGGAAAATTGCGTTGAATTAAAAAGTCAAAACTCTAGTGATGGCAAAACTCTCGTATCCTCCAACGATCAGGTCAAAGTGTCCTCGCAGATTACAAGGTCGAGTGGACAAGAGGATTCTGTTAAAGGTGAGCATAATAGTGAAAGAATAGTAATTCTATACTAATTTCTGTGCGTTGTATGTAAAATAATGGAGTCTATTTTTCCAAAGATGATACTAAAATTTTATGACTTGTCCTGATAGTCTTGAATGGAATAAGATGATTATTCACTGGAGTTCGTAATTAATACTTAATTAAATAATAATTAAATTATTAGAAATGAAAATTATTAATTAAATTACGAAAGAGTAAATGCATAAAAAGATTACTTGTAGAAATTAAATTAAAATGAGTTTTTCAAAAATTATAATTGAGATAAACAAATTATTATCAGAACTCGAGATAGTAAATTAAGAACTTTAATTCTTGAATAATTTTTTTTATTTTCTAATGAATGAAAAGCAAGTTTTGTCTTTGTGAATTATAAATAACTTGCAATTTCTTTTTTCGCAAAATAACATTTGGAAGTATAATAATTGCATTAATGAAACTAAAAATGCACAAGAAAAATGTATAAAATTGTTAATTTTAATTAACGACCGTAATGTGTGAAACATGATTACATTTGCATAACAAAACATTCTACCATAGATATGAAGTAGAAATATTTTTATCTATCGTATTCAGAATTGTTTAATTAAATCTTCTAATTCACAAATCCTAAAATCCGTTCCCAGACTTTCGTCCCATTTTATGCCTGCCCTGACTCAACGTGCGAGCTAGGTTGTCACTTTTGATTTCGATTGATCGACGTTTCTTATGGCTGGCCCGTTTGCGATTGCCGTGCGAACGAGTGCGGGAAGGTCAGGAACCTCCTAGTGGCGGCATCGAAGTCGCAGCACCGGAGGGATTCGATCTTCGTTTATAATTCAGGCCGTCGTCCAATAAAGCTCACAAGTGATTGGGAATAGCTGACCGTTCGCAATGTAACGATCGGCGACCCGATCGGTGATTTCGCTCACGAGCCGAGTCATCTTCGATAAAACTCTCGCTCTGCCGAGCATTGAAAGATGAAATTACATCGATTCCTCGCCGTTCTCTTTTAGACAAACGGAAAGTTCCTCTAACAAAAGTAAACCGCTCTCATAAGAATCACGAGGATTATTCTCGGATCATATTATCATGTTCTGACGTTTGAAACTTTATGACATTGATTGTAAGTGATTTTTTATGTGAACAATTTTTCTTTAAAAAAAATCACGATACTTATTTCCTGCAAAAGGTTAAAAATTCCCGTTGTCTCTTATTTGAAACTCCGGAATCAACTTTCTGATATTATAATATTTTGACATTTCTTCTATTAAAATCTTTATAATTTATATCTCACAGTAGAGAAATATTCAATTTCCGTCTGATGAGGTAACATTCATTTGCCTCGCTTTTACGAATATTATATTCTATCTCAAACATTTCCAAATGATTACTTTAAATACAAATACGATCTGAATGTTAAGATGTTGAACTATTATATATATTCATATAAATGAATTAATTTCAGAAATTGCCGATATGATTGTCAGACTTTCAACGCCATTAATCTGAAATATTAATAATCCCCCTAAATTTCCCAAATTTAATCTTAAAAAACTGTAATAAACTATTACAGTCACTATTATTATTATTAATATTTCAAATTGATTGCGTAACCAATTATCATTTCTGAAATTAATTCATTTATAGGAATATAATAGATATAATAGATCAACATCTTAACATTCAGACCGTAGTGATGCTTCGTATTTAAAGTAATGTATTTAACATAAACAGTCTTGTTTCTAATCTTATTGTTTCCAAATGAATTTGTTAAATTCTATAAATTCATTTTGCAGTAATTGACCATGGGATAATTAATCCAAATGCGAGTAATGAGACAGAGCGAGTGGAAACGAGCGAACGAACAAGCGGAGAACGGAGGATCGAATCGACGGCGATCGCGTTATAAAAAGCGTGCGGCGTTGAAGTAACGCGCCACGCACGCTTCCCTGCACGATAACTCGGCGAGCCGAGCGGGCTGAACGCGGCGCCATGAATTTATGGTTTAATATGCGGCCCGCCGCGTTAGTTGTGTGTACGCCCCTCAAACGGGGGAAGCGACGAGAAGCGGTGGCTGGTGCTGCTGCTGCTGCTGCTGCAGCTCGCCTATCTCTCGAGGGCCCATAACTTTTTCCGATTAAGCGCAAATCAAAAAGCAATCTACCCGGCCGGCAGCCATCGCGGCCGCGAAAGTAAAACCGTAAATATTCGCCCAGGAACCTCCGGGGGAACGACCGGGGGACATCCGGTGTACCGGAAAAGGCGTAAAGCAATAAATATTAATGTACCTTGCGAGTGCTGATCGCCTCTGTACGATCCTCTTACTCTACATTAATTAAATCGTCATATAACTCATATACGTTCAACGTGCAAAGATTAAATTGAAATCACTTTTAGTAACAATTGATATTTATTACAGTACTGTTAATTGAAGATGATCATTTTTAATAGCTTAAAAATTTAGTAAATTTAGATTGATGAAGATGGAGAAAATGTAGCGAGATTTTCAATCTGGATAAAACTCATTAGAATTCATGTCTGTGCGTTTACTTCATTCACTGATGTCGATTCTGATAAGTAGATAAAAAATGCGAGGTTTCACAAAATTATAATAACTCTAACATTGAATAATTGAACATTAAGTCAATTATGGAATTTATCAGTTTGTACATTCATTATCATTTTTTTCTAATACTGATGGAATATTTTTAGTTGATGTGAAACATGTGAAGGCTTCATGGATACTTTCTCAAGTCCTATAGATGATACCATCAGCCTTGCAGCTTTTCAAAAACGAGCACTTCCAGTGATACGATACTCCAAAGCACATTTCGCTTCTCCTGACGATTTAGCGTGGCGTGCGCACCCATCGGTCTTCAGTCGCGCGTGTTTTTCCACGATTGCTGTAAGTGTTGGTGCTTGACCGCTGGTCAAAGGCTCGTGCACTCGTACGTATATTTATGGTACTTGGGGCGTGAGTTTCCTAAAGTATGATAGCGGAGGGTGTACAGCCGCTACTTTAGGAAAAATGAGAAAGAGAAAGAGCTCCCTTCATATTTACGTTCGAACTTCTCGCTGGACTAGCGATAAGTCGCGATACAAAAATAATAAATTGTAGCTTTCGACAATTTTATTATTTGCATTTATTCATGCAAGTAAAATGGTGAAAGCATCAAAATAAAGACTTATTTGGAAAAAACGATACACATGTTCTCAGCTGCGGTTAAATATTTAAGTTTAATGAAGTCTAGATAAAACCGTTACAAAAAAAATTTCTTTTTTTTCTTTTTAGGCAGTGAAATGGTGTCCGCGATTATACTGAGATTTGGAAAGAATTATGCGACAAAGGGTTAAACGTCTAACCGTAGGAGGCACTTTGCTTCATTAAGCAATAAGTGATTGCATGTCTTAAGCTCCCCTTGTGCTTCTTGCGTATTTATGGGACCATGTGCCATATGTAGCGACTGTGTGGGATACGACGACGCTTTTATACGTCTAATGGCCGTGATATCTCGACTCGTTTTAGAGGGAGAAAAATAGTATAGCTAAGGTGGTCGGTCCGGGGGTAGCTCTTCGGGGGTGGCTTAACTGGATCAGGCCAAGAGGGCAGCGCTCTTAGTAATTGAATTAGTGACCCCTCGCGTCCAAGTGTGATTGCTTTGGGTTTTCCAGTAGCAGGGTTCGGTTATCTGCTCCCCCGTTCGTCCCGCAGAATCCCTCTCGCCGTCTCGATCTCTACGAAGTATCGGATAACGTTCAGCAACTACGATTTTGCACCTCGGATCGAGACATTTGGGATATACTCAGGTAGTTTCACCAAATCGGGATTTAGAGAAACGTGTTATAGGACTTGGAAAATAATATGAAATCCCAGAATTTCAATTGTCTCGCGATATTGACGTCAATAATCAGTACGTTTTAGTATTGTGACAGCCTCTCGTCTCATTTTTTTCTTTATTTAATTTTATCAGAAGGAAAAAGTGAGTTGTCTCTAAAATATTTTAACAAACTTATTTCACTCGCGTAAATGATATTTAGAGAAAAGGCCCCTATTATGAGATACCGAGTTCATTTTGGATAAATGCTAGAAGGGCAGAATTTAAGAAAATAATAGGTCATTTTGAAGGGAGTTTAATAAGCTTTAAGATAATTATATAAAATTTAATTCAAATTCCATTTTTTTTAAATTAAAGAAATGTAAAAAGTGAGCAAATCAAAAAATTGTGCTCTTAATATGAGATGCTCTGAGAAATCGATAGTAAAACGCAAAGTATATCAGTATTGCAATTCCAAAACTTTATTTCATGTTTCTAAAATGCAAACAAACACTGCCAGCGTGCGTGAAAAATAAGCATGCGATAGATTATACTCAGAACTCGTCTTCAGGCAGTTGGAATTAAGCATTGCAGAAATAGACACTCGACGTTCATTAGGTTGTCCTTTTTATTATTGTACAATAACATTTACTTTTTAGCAAAGATTTTCCTATAACATAGGAACATGGATTATTTCATATTAGAAATATCCTGGATATCTCATATTATGATTTTCACGCCTTGTGGTTTTACGATCATCAAATTTAACTTCTGTAATTAAACAATTCAATATATTCCGTATTTTTCTATTAGTATGACCTTACTCTATCACTACATGAAGAATTTATTGCCAAATATTTATTTAATTAAATAATAAACAAGATTTAAAGGCTCATCTCAATGAAACTTGAAGACATCCAAATTCTAAAATCTTTTTTACAATGACTACAGATATGATTCAATAATGAATTTTCTACTAAATAGTTTTCAATCCAAGAGCAATAAATTCATGGTGGAACCAATAGATAACGTTTATTAGTTTAGCAAAAACGCTACTATCTCATATTAGGCGCCTATCTCATAACAGGGGGCTTTCCTCTAATAGTAAACGCAGAAAGACTTGGGAGAATTGCATAATTTACTAAATTACAACAAATAAATAATAAAAACAAAATTATAAGAGTAATTATTGTGACACTAATTCATTATTCTCTTTTCAGAAAGTAAGTGGTTATGAAAAATGAGAAGGCTAACTGTAAATTCGAAACGATGCCGATTCTCGCCCCTGGTATCTACGGTACATACGGGAATAAACGGCTGGCACGTTCGAGTTAATGACTGCGACAACGCGCGTATGTGTTGCGCCATGGGTTATGCTAACAATGCGCGGACGAGGGGCGTTGAAAACCGCGCGAGTTATTTTGGCGAGCAAGAGGGAGGTGGTTTTAAACCACCGCTGTACATATGGATGCGGGCCGCACACCCTGCCTAGGGCTCAGATTGGATTACGCGGATATGCGCTAATTGATTAAAGCGCCGTACGCCGTACGCAATGCCGCATGGCGATCGCGCCGGCGTGCAAACGCACGTAGACTGCAGATAGTGGGTCTCGTTTTTTGCCTCCGTTTCCGGATAAATCGCACGGTCGTTCTATTACCCGGTGGAAAGCGACACCACAGAATATTCCACGATAAAAACGCAATTTACCGGCTCCTCGACTCTCATTTGCGTTTCATACATTTTCCCTCATTAGCGAAAGAAATTCAAATATAGTAATTTATTATATTTGAATTTCTTTCGTTAATAATAAATTATTATATTTGAATTTCTTTTGCTAATGAGGGAAAAAAAGTTAGATTATTATTAATAATCTGATTTCTTAAAATGTTCTTAATCCTGTAGGCATGATTAATATAATATTAGGTCGGGGAAAAAGTTTCTTTGTATTTTAAAACATTTTTTTTGCAAAAGTTTTTCATTTGTTGCGAAATTTTCGTTACAATTATATCATTCATTATAAAATTGAGAATTATAAGCTGAATCAAATTTTGTATCAAAATTTAATTTATTAATAATAAAAATAAAATTAATGAAAAACAGGAGAAGCAAGAAGTTTCAGCTTTAAGAATCTGTTTTTTATAAATTGCGATATGATAATTTTTATCGGTTGAGTTATGAGCAGTCGAAGTCAGAATGCTCCTTTATTTAACTCACGAATAACTCAGGAATAAAAAATTATAGGAACATAAAAAAAAAGTGATTTTGTGGGGAAAGCTTCAAGTTTTCACGATAGGGAGTCAAAAATTTTCATAAATTTTTGTTGGACACATGAGAGACTCCCAAAATGAAAAGAAAATTTTTCATCTTTTTTAACTCACAGTTTTTTAAATGTAAAAATTACCAAACTCACAGAAACTCAAAAAATACAGTAACCTTTCGAAAGTAGAGATTTCAAGCTTTAAAACCCTTTCTTTAAATTTAAATTTCGTTTATTTCTGATGAAAATATTGTATGTACAATTTGGAATTAAAAAATATGAAGAAACTTTTTCCCCAATATATAAATGATTAAGAACTACAGAATAGTAATCTTATTAAAAAATAAGATTACTATTCTGAAAGGAATTTACAGATCACTTCTTGCTTCTCTTGTTCCGTTAATTTTATTTTTATTATTAATAAATTAAATTTTGATACAATAATTTGATTCAGTTTATAATTCTTAATTTTGTGAAAATCGTTAATATTATAAAAGTGTAAATGTCATGAAAAAGAAGAGGAAGAGATAATTATCTTGAAGGATGAACGAAAAGATGGTCCAAAGCGAAAAACTTTCTTGGCGCGTCGTATAGAGCGGCCACAAGCATCGCCGCGAGTTAGAGAGACGCTCGGATAATTAACGGCTATACGATTTAATTAATGGTCGCTTAATGTAAAGTAACTACGGTACTACGGCTTTTCGAGGTGTTGCCGACGAGAAGGAGGCGCGGAAACTCGAAAGGGGCTCATGACGAAGAAGAGTGGGAGGGACAGAGGTGGATTAAGTGTCTCGCGTAAGAGCCCTTGACGAAGGGGATGTGATTTATATAATTTAGCAAAGTGGTGAGCTACGCAGTCTTATACCGGGTCGTTAGTCATCCCTACTCTCTTCACTAGACGAGGGAGGGCAAACTCGTACCATCTCACCTTAATCACCCTCCTCCTTCGCCTTTCTGCATCTGTCCGATGGAATCTTCCGCGTGAAGATGCGTCCTCGATGCGATCCCGCAATCTGTGCGGGAACAAACTTAATACAGCGGTTATACACATTGATACACACTGAGTTACGCGGACTGGATTATGCTTACTTTTACAGTTCTTCGACATGTTGAGGGTATAACTGTCGAGGGTTTTCCCTCGCGCGGGATACGCTTGTCTAATGTCATCTAATTAGAGATGTCGGTATCTCGATTTGAATAAGATTCTCATAAGGTGGCGAGATATATGTTGATGGCACCTAGACTGGAAGAAATGGCCCGTGAACGATTCACGAAGATCAATTCAGTAGCATCGGTCGCCCCGGCTTGGTCGTTCTGGCTCGCGGCTCGCATTTGTCCCTGTGAATTAATCATCGCGCGACGAAAACTTCCCCGTTACTCGCTGCACATCTCCGGCGATGACTCACAGCATTCAGGTTTCTGTTTTGTCGAAAGCATTCCTTAAGAAGATTTTCGCGTTTGATGAAATATAAAATAAGTATATAATATACATGTAATATAAAAGTTAATAATATCAATAATATCTAGAAAAAATTTCATTGACTTTTACCGTAGCATTTTGAAGATATTTAATTCTAAATTTACCGAATTTTACATTATCAAGTTAAAGATATAATCTTATACTGTAGTTATTCTCTTTTAAATTGAGACACTTGCGTATAAGACAGCAATTTAAAAATCGTTATAATTATAAAGTAAACACTTAAGTTTGTTCTCGTAAAGTTTCATTTAAATTGACCGTACCAGTTTACAAGAAATTTATATTCTTCAGTGAAAAAAGCTAGAATATATGTCAAATGAACGATGCGTATACATCAAAGCGTGAGCATCTTACAACTTTTATTTTGTTATTTTGAAAATATTTAGCAACGTAATAAAATTAACATAACAATTAATTAATAATTATGTATCACTGCATAAGATATTGTTAGTAATCTTTTTATTTCATTATTTTAAAATGTTTTATTATGAATAACTGTCTATTGACTAGGAAATAGCGCGAGACCTCTTTAACAATAACAGAAAATTCATCTTTTCACATCGCGTAATGATATATTATATATACTTCTTATAATGGAACACAAATATATTCGAGAATCATATAATTATCTTTTAATGTATTTACCTAACGTTTTTTCATTTGCTCGAGCAATAATTAATTTGTAGGATCCAGCTGTCGGAGCAATGGAAGCGGCAACGGCAAGCAGAGGAGATCACGGACGAACTTCACCATTGAGCAATTGGCTGAACTCGAGAGGCTCTTCGATGAGACGCATTATCCGGACGCGTTTATGAGGGAAGAGCTGAGCCAGCGGCTCGGTCTTAGTGAAGCGCGGGTACAAGTCTGGTTCCAGAATCGACGTGCCAAGTGTCGTAAACATGAAAGCCAGTTACACAAAGGTAACGTGCTGTCGCAAACTCTACAGTGGATATAACACGTTTAATTCTTCCTAGATATAATGTGCTTATTTTTCTCTTGCCTTTAAGTTATAAATAATTATAGACTTTTTTATTTATAAAAGTCAGAAATATTTTGTCATTAAAAGTATGAAGTGTAAAAAACTTGTATTACATTAATTAAGAGTAGTGTATTTCTTTGTAAAATTTACATATCAATAGCCAGGGTTGTTAAAAGTTATTTTCTCGTTACTGTGTTCTTCTACTTCTCAGTATTTTTTATAATAAACAATTTGATAATGACTTTGCAATTTTTTATGACGATAACACTAACTAACTAAATGCTAAAGCTGGAAAAATCATTTTGAAAAGTAATGTATTATCATTATTATGCGTTTGAATTACTCACTGAAAAAACTAAAAGTAATGAGTAATAAATAAATAAAATAGTACCTTTCAAATTTCGTTATTCGTTACTAGAAATTGTAACTTAATTACTATTACTGTTACTCATTAGGAAAGATAATTACGTAAAAAATAGTAACCAAAAAGGTAACTTCATTAATTTTTTACATAACTTATACAACCCTGTCAATAGCAATACTACATCAACAGCGATAGTATTCTAGGATTAATATTCGATTGGTAGTTCTAATTACATTTTTTTACAGGCGTCGCCGGAAGTATGGTACTGGCACCGCGAAGTCCGCCGACGACATTGGAGCCATGTCGAGTTGCACCTTACCTACCAGCCCTCAGATTACATCCATCGCCGATGCAGGGAACCACAAATGTCACAGTAGGATCAGCTTTTGATCCAGCGGTGCTGCACTACGCGGCAGCCGGGGGCCTCTTCTGTCTGCCACCACCACCGCCACCGCCACCCCCGGCACCATCGGCTGGTCATCCTCCTCATCCGCTGAGCCTGGCTGCATCGTTGGCCGCTGCGGCAGCTCGCTCGAAGAATAGCAGCATTGCAGACCTTAGGCTGAAAGCGAGACGGCACCAGGAGGCCTTAGGGCTTGATAGGCCCGCGTAAGGTTCGCGGTGTGGTACGTCTTGGACGAAGAGGGACTTGACGGGGATGAAGAAGTGCGAGTTGTCGTGACGGTGAGTATACTCAGGTTCGAAAAAGATCTGTATTTTCATCGAAATGTAACTTAGAGCAATGCGAAAGAAAGATTGATAGACCGACATGATCATGGTGATTTCAATTTTCGATACCATAGGAAAGGTACATTATATCTTATGTCAAAGTATTCACTCACTTGTCGTTGTTTAAAATTCTATAAAATTTAGACCTATATTTTTTTAAAATAAAAACTTTAGTTCAAATTTAAGAAATTTTAATTATTTTATTTTTTTTACATTATTTTGAGAGTAAAAACATTGCAGTTATTTGTACACGATTAAAATTACAGGTTGCACGTGTCATTGTTTTGTGCAGAAAACTTGCTCGCGTATAGAATATAAAAACGAAACACGTGCATCTCTTCATCCGCGACGTGCCGAAGAGTCTGAGAAGTACAAAGGACACTCAATGTATATAAACTAAATTGCGGAAGGACGATGGGAAACGTGTAACATATATAATGTATACAGAATCGAGAGTCTCGCTTGTATCTCGATTATTCTGTGTCGAAGAACTGTGATGTAAAACCGCGAAGTTTAATCAGCAACGATTAAGAAGACGACACATTAATGTAAAGTCTATCGTCACCAATTCTTGAACCAGTTCTCATCTCAAGTTAGCGGGCATTCGTTCGGAGCGGAAATTATTGTAGCTTTGTGTATGCTCATGCATGTGAAGACATGTTTAAACGGAACGTTTGTCGAAATGTCATATTTGTCAACGTAGGAATTCAGAAAATGTCAAGGTATGTTCAGTTCTTTGATAACATTATATGAAGAAAATCATAGAATATTTTCTAAAATATATTTTGTTATCAAATACGAATTTTATCAATAAGGAAATTCAAGAAAACAAGATGCATCGAGATTACTCATCAACAGAATAAAAAGACTCTTATGTCATCTCTAAAAATAGATTTATTATACGTTGCAAAAGCAATTTCTGAGGATAATCTACGATGGAATTCAGAAAGTGCCAAGATTACTGACCATCCATGTAAAAGGAACCGTACGTCGTTTCCAAGAGTAGATTTCGGTCACAACATTTCTTACCAGCAATATTACTTCGCAAGGGAATACGGGAAACTCCAGGACGCGCCAGGATCGCTGACCAACCGCGGGTGAGAATTATAGATCGCCGCGTCCTGGCAGCGGCTTGCAAGACATAACTTTCGTAGATGATTCACGGGCGGGTGGACGGACGCCGGACGATTTCTCGCGTTCGTCGCCAGCGAGCGAGCGGGGGACGGCGGACAGCATCGCCGTCGGGGCGCTAATGCAATAACGCGCGGCTACGCGGATAAATCAAGCAGGGCGAACCGCTCGAACGGTGGCTGTGCTGTGCCAGTGCTGCGCCGCGTAATCGCGTTACCCCGGTTGTCCCCAGGGCGCCGTTATAGTCCTAGAACCCCTTGCCCTCAGAAAGGAGGATGAGGTGCTCCGAAAGTCGCACGTTCCTCGAATCCGGTAATTCGTCCGACTTATCTCCACGTAAATCGCGAGTCTGGTTTCTCATCTATTCATTAGCGAGAAAATATAAGGGACTTTTACGATATCGTCTCGAGTCCAAATACGCTAAGCGAAAGAGGAATCTCGGTATTATTGCCATCACACGTAGCACGGGGATATATTAGTGTTTACCGTATCGGGAACACGTTGCTGAAGCTTATTCACTATATCAAATCGCGATGAAACGTCTTCCAGTGCATTTTCCTGGATAAATCAGTCATGCATCTCGGAGGAGGGTTGTAATCGCGTTAACACGGATTTATTCCGGCCATCCCCGGGGCGTCGTTATCGTCCTATCCGCGTGTGTCGATAGGTCGAAGCAACGTCGCGTGGCCATGATTTGATTAGTGACTTTAATTAAAAAGAACGCGTACAGAAACCGCTTCAATGTATACGACCCATATATGTTGAATTGCCTTTTTATAGGCATTGTATATAAAAAAGAAAAGCCATAATTTGGTCGCTTTACGACCGCAAGATTGATTCTGCAACAGTGACTTACGGTCTCATAAACTAACTTGGATTTTTTACGATGTAAATCTTCTAATATATAGCAAATTTTTATTGGATTAGAAATTAATTCAATTATAAAGTGATATTTAAAGTATAACTTATTACGTACTGCATGTACATATTAAAATTGAATATATTTAGAGACATTCTGTATAATAATCTGTTAGAGGAAGAAATGTGTGAGACTGATGTCACTTGTATTGTAAATCATCTCGCTATTGAAGAGTGAAATCGATTAAGGCGATTTGCAGGAAATGAAAAGTTACTTTTTAAAAGTAACAAGTTACAGTTATTCGTTAGTAGAAAAAGTAACAAGTTACTGTTAGTAGTTATAATTTTTAAAAGTAACTCGTTATTTGAGAAAGCTTTTATTTTTTCGATAATTTTAACTTTTTTAAAATCAACGACCATCAGTTACAATTGGATGCCTAAAGGTTTTCTAATCTCAAGCTATGAATGGCTTGTGTCCAATTGTGTGCAAAGTAACAATAAAAGTAACTGTAAAATTCATTATCGTTACCAAAAAAATCTAACTACGATACCATTACAGTTATAAAAAAAAAGTAACTTGTAACTGTAACTTCGTTAACGAGTTATTTTCATTCCCTAACGATTTGTTTATATATATATATAAGTCATTAATCGATAAACATACCGATTGAGCTCGTAATTAATTTAACGATACATGTTAAATTCTATTGCTCTGTCCCTATAACGAAAATGTATCTTTTTTTTCTTGTTAGTTTTTGTAAAATAATCAGCAAAAATCCTCACCATGTTAGAAAGGATGCGTATCTGATTTTTATATTTTAGTTAAGTTTTAACTATATAAGTTTTAACTATATATAAGTCTTATCGAAAACATTTTTATACTAGAAGATTTATAATTTTAATAATTTTTCTTATTTATTTAAATATATTTGATTTTTTAGGTTTTCAAGTATTTTATGCGGAGCAATATAGAGAAGGATCTAATCGAGTTATTATTATCATCATCGATGATCACTGACGTTGCCATTATAGCAACAAATGAAAATAGTAAGAATAATTTGCAGCAATTACATTCGCATAACGATAAAAATAATGATGCTCCACCTCATTTACAGACAGGGAGATAATAATAAAAGCACAAGGCCAGGGCCAAGGGCTGTATTCGCCCTTCCACCTCCAGTGACGTTTTCCGAAATAAAATAAAATCCTCCCTGAAATAATTCGGAGGGCGCCGAGGGATGCTCCTCTCTTTTCTCCCTTCGCTCATTTTAATCCGAGTTTTAAGAAGTTTTTCCTATTGCTCGTAAATTGGCCGTCGTTTGTCTGGCTGGGGTCACGTGGGGCCAGCAAGGGGTGGGAACCACCCCCGAGGTATTCTCCCTACTATATAGCGAGATCCTGTTGTTCGCACATTGCGCATTCGTAGCGCGCGAGTGGGGGATGGAAACTCGTAACTGCGATATAATGTCCCACGAAAACCAGCTACCATCATCAATTATCTCCACCCTCTCGTCCCCTCAGAAGGGATGAAACGGGGAATAATCGAGAAACGCGCGGAGCCGTTGAGATTTCTTGAGATTGCACAAAATCGGAGACGTAAAAAATTATAACAGCAATAGTATTATTTAAAAAAGTAAGTAATAAAGATGATCTAAAAAAATTTTTCAAAGATCAAGATTAGGTAATTTTTAATACTCTTTTTTGAATTGAAAAATTTTCAATATAGTAATTCATTTAAAACATGAATTATCTCTTTCCTGTAATAAATATTCTTCACAATTAAAATCAGGATTGTATAAGTTACATAAAAAAGTAACGAAGTTACTTTTTCCCTTTTTTATTGTATGTAATTACCTTTCCTAGTGAGTAACAGTAACGGGGGGTAATTAAGTTATAATTTCCAGTAACGAGTAACGAAATTTTGAAGTTACTATTTCATTACTATTTCGTTACTCGTTACTTTCAGTTTTTTTTTAGTAAATAATGCGTGATAAGTTATTTCTTTAAATAATTTTTCCATCTTAGCACAACTTTAATGATTAGTTTGTTAGCGTTACTATCATAAAAAATTGCAACATCATTGTTTTGTCAAATTGTTTACCATAAAAAGTAACGGTAGAGTAACGAGAAAGTAACTTTTTTTAACAACCCTAAAATTAAAATTTTCTTCAAGCAGGACTTCATTACGTATTTTTTTAATATTAAATTACTTTATTGTTTAGCTCGAAGAGTATCGCCAGGAAAATTGATTAACGCTTGGCCATTGGTGAAAAATTCGCGGCAACAGATCAATCCTGCAATTCCGACGGCGTGATCGAGGGGATGGGCGGGACGGATGCTGCGCGAGATTTGGAAATAATTCAGCCCCGCGCACTGACTGGCGGGCCAAGGGGCTGCTTGCTCTGCCGACCCCCGCGTGCCTTAATCTAATCCAAGGATAATCTAAAATTCATGACACACATAACTGCCAGGCGATGATATATCTGGCGGGGGTGTAAAGGCAACGTCTTCTCCGTTCCGCCGTCGTTCTACCCCTCGCCACACCCTTCTTACCGTTCTTGTAGCTTGCAGTTTGCCTCGGCGGGCACCCAACAGCAATCACTGGCATTATTATTTAATGCGATTCGCGTGGCGGCGTATACATCGACCAGCTACCTTATAAATCGCGATATCGTAGACTCGCTGCTAGATGCTGTTTATCTCACGAGAGGAATTACCAGTTCGATCGGCGCCAGTTGATCCTTCTTCTCTAACATCCCGAAACACGTTAAGTTAAACAGACCGCGTAACAATTGATTGCACATCAGGATGCCGTTTACATTGCTTTCTAAAGAGATTATACTGCCTGGATACAGTGGAATTTTTATTCGAAGAATATCATATAAATTAAAAACGTAATTTGGAAGATCCAGCTTTATAGCATTACAAAGATCGTGGAATTATTTTATCCTATAAGGTAATCAATCTCGCTTGCGTTTCAAATTTATTCAATAATCAATGAATTTCCCATTTTATTTCTCGTTATGTTAAATAAT